TTATTTCAAATGAAAGAACAAAATAAGGCCACGGCCAGAGATCTAAGTGAAACAGATATAAGTAACATGCCTGACAAAGAATTTAAACCAATGATCATAAGGACACTCATTGCACTTGAGAAAAGAATGGAAGACATCAGTGAGACCCTTAGCATAGAGATAAGAGTTAAAAAAAAAAAAAGTGAGAGATGAAGAATGCAATAAAGGAGACTGGAAGCAGGCTTGATGCAATGAATCATAGCAGGCTGGAAAAAGCAGAGAAATGAATTAGTGACCTAGAAGACAAAACAATGGAAAATAATGAACCTGAACAAAAGAGAAAAAGAAGAATTATGGAATCCGAGAACCAACTTAGGGAACTCAGTGACTCCAGCAAACATAGTAACATTCATACTATAGGAGTCCCAGAAGAAGAGAGAGAAGAGGGGGAAGAAAATTTACTTCAAGAAACAATAGCAGAAAACCTCCCTAATCTGGGAAAGGAAACAGACATCCAGATCCAGGAGGCACAGAGAACTCCCATCAAAATCAACAAAAGAAGGCCAACACCAACACATATTTAATTAAATTTACAAAATATAGTGATAAAGAAAAAAAATCTCAAAAGCAGAGAGACAAAAGAAGTCCTTAACCTACAAGGGAAAACCCATAAGGCTAGCTGGAGATTTCTCAACAGAAACTTGGCAAGCCAGAAGGGAACTACGTGATCTATTCAATGTGCTGCATAAGAAAAATCTGTAGCCAAGAATACCCTATCCAGCAAGGCTATCATTCAGAAGAGGAGAGATAAAGAGTTTCCCAAACAAAAACTAAAGGAGTTCATGACCACTAAACCAGCCCTGCAAGAAATATTAAAGGGGACTCTTTGAGTGCAAAGGAGAGATCAGAAGTGACAAAGACAAGAAAGGATCAGAGAAAATCTCCAGAAACATCAACAAAACAAGTAATAAAATGGCAGTAAATATATATCAATAATTACTTTAAAAGAATAAATTATTACTTTGAATGTAAATGGACTAAACACTCCAATCAAAGACATAGGGTGTCAGAATGGATAAAAAAAACAAGACCCATCTATATGCTGCCTACAAGAGACCCATTTTAATCTTAAAAATATCTGCAGTTGAAAGTGAGGAGCTGAGAAACATTTATTATACAAATGAATTCCAAAAGAAAGCCGGAGTAGCAATACTTATATCAGACAAATTGGACTTTGAACAAAGACTGTAAAAACAGACAAAGAAGGGCATTATATAATCATAAAGGGAACAATCCAACAAGAAGATATAACAATTGTAAATATTTATGCACTGAACATGGGAGCACCCAAATACACAAAACAGTTAATAACAAACATAAAGGAGCTAATGGATAATAATACAACAATAGTAGGAGACTTTAACACCCCTCTTACACCAATGGACAGATCATTTAAACAGAAAATCAACAAGGGAACAACAGCTTTGAATGACACACTAGAACAGATAGACTTAACAGATATATTCAGAAGATTCCATCTTAAAGCAGCAGAATACACATTCTTTTCAAGTGCAAATGGAACATTCTCCAGAATGTATTATGGTCTAATATATATATGACCTAATATATTAGGTCACAAAACAGGTCTCAACAAATACAAAAAGACCGAAATCATACCATGCACCTTTTCTAAAGACTGTAACACTGTGAAACTACAAGTCAACCACAAGAAAAAATTTGGAAAGACCACAAACACGTGGAGGTTAAACAACATGCTACTAAACAATGAATGGGTCAATCAGGAAATCAAAGAAGAAATTTAAAAAATACAGGGAAAGAAATGAAAATGAAAATACAACAGTCCAAAACCTTTGGGATGCAGCAAAAGCAGTCCTAAGAGAAAAGTACACAGCAATATAGGCCTACCTCAAGAAGCAGAAAAATCTCAAACAACCTAACCTACACCTAAAGGAGCTAGAAAAAGAACA